TAGGATATGGGCGGAGACGTGGGAGGATGGGAGAGGATGGGAGGGGTGAATGGGTGTGATAAAATACATGTAGTTGGTTAGGGATGGAAATGTGGTTTCGGGGTGGAGGGGACGGTGTTGTGATGTAGACGGGGATGTCAGCTGCTTGCGTAGGATATGATGGTGTGTGTGTGTGTGTGTGTGTGTGTGTGTGTGTGTGTGTGTATGTGTGTGTGTGTGTGTGTGTGTGTGTGTGCATATTATGAGTTTGTGTGTATAGTTTTAATGCAGGCAGTTTAACGCGATCTATATCATTTAAGAGGCGGGTTTCCAACCCTGCCTGTCAGGCCCAAATCCGGATGGTCAGCAGAGGGATACAACGTCCCAGCAGGCAGACCGAGACACTCCATTAGAATGTGTCCCTATCCAGGAATCAAACTCATGTACTTTGGGTGCGAGAAAAGCGTCTAACAGCTACACCACACACACTGGTCCATAAGTATAACTTTTAAAGGTTTGTGTATAGAGACACCAGCTGTTCCTGTATAGTAAGATCCACTGTTTAAGCCATTTACTCCGGTTAATTTATCTTCTTTTTTTAAAATTCTTTTTGTCGTTAAGTTTACTGCATCATAAATATCATAAATATGAGATTTTAATATTGGACATTGAATGTCTACTCGAAAGGAGTGGAGATGGAGATGGAAAAGGGGAAGGGTTGTTTTTTTTTTTTTTTTTGGGGGGGGGGTTCGGTGCAAAAGTTGGGACGAGTGTGGAGATGGGAGTAAGGGTAAGGGTGGGGATTTGTGGTGTGGGTGGATGTTTTATATCTTTTTAAAATCAGGATTTGGGGTGTGAGTGTGGGTTGGTGTTTTATATCTTTTCAAAATTCTTGAGACAGAACTCACATGTGTATCTTTGTACGTGTGTGTTTGTCGTTTGTGTGTTTGTATGTGTGTTTTTTGTTTGAGTGTTTGCATGTGAGTGTGTGCTTGTGTGTTTGTATATGTGTGCTTGTATATGAGTTTGTACGTGTGTGTTTGTTTGTGTGTTTGTATGTGTGTATGTATGTGTTTGTGTCACCAACTCACTGACAAAGGGCATGTCCGTATCCACGGTCAAACATCTGAGGCCTGTCTCACAGGGACATGACCGGCTCAGCAAGATCTGCATGTTGTGGCAGGGTGCGTCTTCCGACAGGTTCTTTTGGCACGTCCCTGCACAATCGACAACAACAACAATTGTATGCACCATAAAAGTACCATCGGTATTATTATTATTATCATTATT